GACTAAGAACAAGAAGAAGAGAAGATTGGATCAATTGCACTCTTCACCAAAAATTGCTTCCACGAAGCAAGTATTTAACATGACCGTCAGCATTTAAAAAGTATCTGCCTCTAGCTAACTTGTCGTTGCAAAGTCATAATGTTTTCTTAGCGTAGGAAGTATTTTAACTGAGAAAACTAACTGTGGCATTTCAGAGTAGTACACTTTCTGATGATCGCCTGATGAAATGTGACATTCGCCTCAAGGTCCTGGTTTGTCCAGAGATCTTTCAATAGAGTGTCCACTAGTTTACAATCAAATATACCGCGAACCTACTGGCTACGACTTACATCTAGAGGTCACCAAGTCTAAGCACAGCCTGACAAATGTCTACAACGTGTCAGTCAGTTTTCAGGTAATATCTAACTTCGCGACTCCTGTTAGATCCGCTGTCTCATTTTAATCCACTGAGTTTCGTGACCAAGGCTCTCTACAATTTCCCCGAGGTCAATTTAGTGGATGCTTCAATAAAAATCAACCCTAATTGTTTTTAGAAAACAACAGACAGTGTGGTCAGTGTAATATTTTTCTGTCTGGTTAAAGTTAAATTTTAGACATAAGCGTTCCCTTGTGCATCTAGCTTCGCTAATATGCTTAGAATTGTAAGTGATTAATAATTTAGGCGATTCTCTTAGAATAGTCCAGTCATTAGTGAGTCAGTAAAGTTTTACCAATATTTTGATTCCCAATTGAATTGAATTTTGCATTAAAAAAACTTATAGGATTGTATTACTTTGCAAAAGCTAACAATTAGCTGGAATAATTACTGGAAATCGCAGCTGTCGTGAATTGTCACGTAAGGTTGCAATTTCATGCCAAATCTGTTGTGATTCCCCAGCTGTGTTCAAAAACCTGACAATCCCATTTTATCCTTCGAAGTAATCATTTGAGTTTGCAGCGCGCAGAGTCAAGTGAAGGGACAAAGTGTGGTATGCCTAAATCAAGGCAACAGAGTAAATTTCCCAGAATAGCTCCGCTATTTGGTCGTTCTTGATCCGACAGCATCAGTCATCTGAATTCATTACACAGCTACAAAGCCTCACTTTAGGTCGTCGAAAATTCTCTGGAATATTTACTTCGGCTACCCAAAAGAAGGCTAGTCACAGTTGGTTAACTCTTCCAATAATGAAAATTCTACCAAGAATACAGTAGACTTGAAACAAAAACACATATCTTATGTTGTTTGTGGTCGAGACCTGTAGTAATCATGTGGGGTACTCATTTAAGATCTTGGAAGCTCAAACGAGGAGCCCTCTACCAAGTAGTAGAGAATGTGCTGTTACTGAGAGGCGGATTCTGCCTGAATAGTACTGAGAACGCTTGGTTTACTATCAAACGAGTCTACAGAGGCCTGAAAAGTGTTTTGGAGCTCTCCCGCTGCTTAGCGCAAATTAACGAAGTAAGGTTTTTCAAAGGCAGTCGAGGGCGTTGAATCCACCTGCCAAGTGCAAACAATGCATTCTAGCCACTGCATATTTGTGCGGAAAAGTCTCCGATGTTCTTACCTAAGCAATATGACAAGGAGTAGAATTTAGAGCAAAAGGGAAACTGTTGTCCATGCGTTACAAATTGCGTATTTTCGGCATTGTTAATGGGTGATAATTTTAAGGTTTAAGCTCGAGTTCAGTTTTCTGAATGAAAAAAAAATTATAGCAGTTTGGTAAAGTGACACACTGGGCTGAACTATATTCTCTTCATTTGCGTGCCTGCTAATTCGATGACACAGGCTACATCATCAGCGAGGGCAATCAATTGATTGTAAATATTTAACGACCGTCATTGAGCAGACTTTTTGAGGCCAAAAGTAATAACTTAATCACGGAGAGGCAATCAATTTGCAAAAACTTAAAGCTTTAACAGGGTTTTTGACCCCAAATTTGGTTACGTTAAACTCTCAAAACCAGATTTGATTTCGGCCTGCAAAAGGAAAAGATGGAGCCATTAATTTTGAATGTGATTAATTTGCCACGTACAAAACTTAACTGACAAACACCAAAGAATCGCCTTTTAGGCAAATGTGGACCCAGTGATTTTTATAAAGTTAGTAAAAGGTGATTTGAATAGACTCTCTCACGCCATCGTTGTCCAAACTGAAATCGAGTGCTAAAGCCATGTACGGTAAAAGGACGTTTAGGCAGGAAGGAAACTAGTTTTTTTTCAATAAAAACTAAGAGGATTTGTGTTCAAAAGACATCGGTCCTTCGCTGTTGAAATCAGTCAAGAAAAAGGCATGTTCTTTGATTCATGGAATGAGCGAAGCAAAACCTCTGCAAACTTGGAGTGTTTTTAACTTCTTAAATCACCGGCAAACTATGGAGTGATTCAGACCAAAACAACGCTTACTTTAAACCATTAGGATTTGAGATTACAAAAAAACAATATTGTGAAATCATAAATGTTATTTATTGGTCAGTGCACATGTGTGTTTCAAGAAATGAGGTGCATGACAATTTCTTTCAAAAAGCACTTTAGGAGAACAAATATAATTGCGTTACTGAGAACTATCATATGTGACTCGGTTCTATTTTACCTAATTATTGTCTGTGGAGTTTGAAGCAAAATTTACTTCGATTTCCAAACAAAAATCTGCATAAGCAAATTGCTTTTTAATCTCCGCATGCAATTTCGCGTCATTGTTCTTTCATTAAAATGGATAACATAGGAAACATTGGTTTGTGATGCTGAAATCGTGTTTCCCCGTACGACATTGTTCCAACACATTTTGATCGATATTATTTTTACTATTTAATTAAAACCATGGAACATGTGAAATGCCAGTTTTTTGCCATTTGATACACAACTAAAAGAATAATCAGTTTATTTGTAACTGATCAGTGTTTTCGTCACTTAGGATCCACGGAAAATGCATTCTAACAGCCTTAAGATGTAGAGTTTGAAAATGTATGACTTGGAACCTGGCAACGTGTATTTTAAGCGTGTGGTGCAGTGTCTGAGTTGAAATTTATGTCGCATCTAATGAAAAAGGCATGTGGATTTAACTGGCCATTTTGTTATATTTGCTTAAAATTCGAAGATGTGTAACCTGGTGCACAGTTTTTGTTTGATTGGCCAGAATTTTTCCCTGAAGCAAAGTAAAATGTTGACATTAGCACCTGATTGTAGCCTTACTTTCTGCTAGTTTGTGTGATGAATCTCCTGTTCCCAATTTTAAGTCATTTCAGATTCCCAAAATTCGCCACAGCGAACGGAAGAAACAAAGATTTGAAGGTGATTCTAAGAAACTGTTGTTAAGCTCTTTGCCTTTGCGTTCTGCTTCATGACAATACCTGTTCCTACATTGTTCTAGGCACTTCGACCTTGAATTCTACCATTTAAGCAGTTTTCCCAATTTATTTGTCATCAAGAAAGCCGGTAATTTAATTACAGAGCTTTATAAAACACGTGTAGCGCATTAACCTTGCAGCGATTCACATTCACGCGTAATGGCAAAAGTACCCACATTTTACCCGCCGTTGATTCTACGCTAAAGAATCTGCAGTTCATTTAGCTTGTACACTCCATTAATTCTGACCAGTCAGTATGGACCTTAAAGATGCGTATTTAGAGACTTCTTATGTGTACGGTTGTTAAGCCCTACTTTTAAGTGCTGTTTTATTTATTTAAAGAAACGAAATAATTGTCATACGAAGATTTTGGAAACCAGACGGAAGAGCATGTCAAAAATCACTTATATGATATTTTTTTATAAATATCACTCTTGACGGCAGTGATTGTACTTAGTTTGGTTCCTTAGCACAAGCCCTTGATACTTGCAGCTGATTGGCCGATACATGTGAGCGCTTTCCTATAGCGCCCACCAGAATGCATATATAAGATAGGAAATGGGGTCGCCTGAACGTTGCTGCTCTTCTATTAACTCAGAACTTCTCTCAAGAAAAATGAACACGTACGTTTTAAGTTTTCCGAAAATGAGACTTTTCAAAAACTTGACCCAACTGTCTTTAGTGAATCGGTTTTCAAGTTAGTTTAATATATCGATGAATATTAGACATGTATATTCAGCAATTACCAGGATAAGAAATTTTTATTCACATTAATGATATTTAAATTTAGGGTTATTGCATTGGCTACTTTAGTGCTTAAAATTTCGTGTTGATTCCAATTTGTCTTCCTGTCTTATTTAATTAAATAAGGATCATAATGCACAAATCGATGCACCAAGAAATTCAACTTGTAGGCATTTATTAACTTTAAGGAAAGCCATCGGGTTCATTCGCACTCACGATTGGATGAAGAGTTTCCTTTGTTCTAGAGATCCTGGCGAACGAGGCCAGCATGAAGTTTGTTTTTGAGAACAATTAGGATTTCACGGATCATAGTCAAAAAATTCAAATCACAAATTTTCGTCATTTCATGAGAAACTGAGCGATTTTAATAGTTTGGTTAACTTCAACATTAAATCAGGTTTTTTCAAAGAAGCACTAAGCAGATTGCATAAACTTTATTTAGTCGTCCAAATGTCAAATTAAATTCATTAAACAGTTTTCAGTTTTTGAAGCGCGTCTTTTGCTGTTCATTCTCACACAGAATGGTCGCACAGTCTATGGTAGACTTAGTTTTATCTGTCCAAGGAGGAGGAGGAGGAGGAGTGATTAATACAACCAAGACCAAACCACTTCACAAATTAAGCATTTGGCGATGACCGACATAACACAGCACTTTTTAAGGCTGACGCGTACACTTGTTTTACCAGATCAGACGTCGAGGTATTTTTAAAAAAAGGCAGCATTCTTGTGGTGACACTGACAGTCTCGACCAGGGTCCAGCCCCAAGTGTGTTGTGGACTGTGTTCAATGCAAAGACAAGTAAATCGTTGAGACTCGTGCAGAGTATATGTTTGTCCCATAAGTGTTTTTTACGCTTCATTAGTGACACCACACGATGCTTAATGTCGCCTATCCCTTAAATTAAGTTCCAAAACGGTTTTGGTTGGTCTGCTGATGGCCTGTCTGCTGAGTTTGCCTCGGACAGATGCTGCCGCCTTCAGACAGCAGGATCACCGGGCCGCTGATGAAGCCGAGTACGAGGCCCTTCTGCAGGAGTACCTCGACCATCTGCGCTACCTCAAGGAGCACATCGACCGGTACCAGGCAGACTACCCCTTGAACAAACGCGCTCAGTTTCTTCGACTTGGCCGCAAATGAGGGGAGGGGGCCAATTAATTAGAAGAAAATTTGATGTTTGTGTAATGTTGTTTAATCACTTCGTAATAAATACAATCGAATGAACATCTACCTCACTAACACGACACTCGCACATCAGTACTTGAGTGCACAAAGTTAGGTGGATGGGCGCAAGAGCAAATATTTCCAAAACGTTTATATTTCGGTAGTTGCTACTTGGTAACACTAGCGAAACTTCATGCTCATGTTTTGCCGGGCACTTTAAATGGTTTAACTCTCATAATCATCGCCAGAGACTATCTTAAGAACCAAAAATTCAGTAACGTTTTTAAGATGTCTTCACCGCAGACGGAAAAGCATTTTCTTTTACCTTCTTTACCAGTAAAGCACTTTATTCATATCACCTCTAGTCTACCACGCATTATCAGGGATATATTTACCAGAAATCGAAGTTTGAGAAATAAATTTGCAGATCAGAATAAAAACTGTCTGCCCTTATGTAATCTGATCCTTTTATCGGACCGTAGAACTTGAAGGATATAGTGTTTTTGTACATTACGAGGAATATTGTGAAAATGTGTCGCAGCTATATCTTGGACTTTTTTGGACACTCATTTGTTTAAAAAATACTGTTAATTTATGCACTTCGAGCATGTTCACAGAGCTAGAGTTTTGAGAAGGTATTTGAAGTCAGCATGTCTAATCACTTTCCTGCAAAACATGGTCATAATATCATATTGTAAGAGGTAAATTTATTTAGAGCCTAGAACTGACTCCTTAGACAAATGTTGCAAATTGAAGGTGTTCTTTTAGAGGTACTACCTATGAAAAGCTCTCTGGAAATTTAAATAGTAAAATACAAAAATCGAAAAAATCCCCTATTTTGTAGGGCTACAAATGTGCATGAGTAGCCACCACAACACTTTCTGGAAGCACTTTATGCAAAGAGAGAAGTGCGTAAAGTGGGTTTTAAGCATTAGAAGCGTTTTACAAGAGTTTTATTTAAACTCAATCCTTTTGTCCACGCGCGTTCCGTATTCGCCACCAACGGTCCAGATATTCAACGTCTGCAACAGGGCTTCCTGACCCAAGGAAACCTCAAAATTTGATCTACAATGCAGTCTATTGGGCTCACAAGTTGGGCTCCAAATCTTGTGGGATAAAAAGTAGACTGATACCTTTAGCATGAGTTGCTGTGTACGCAATCAAGCACAAAGTCGACTACGTGGTTAACTATTGCAAAAGCATTTCATGTACACAAATTACCAATTAACACACGTCCTTCAAAGTGACTACCTTAACATAATTGTACAGTCGATGGCCAAAATATGATACTTGAAATCAACCGTTATAATTACTTAACCAGTATACTGCAAACGCTTTCTTGTTTGGTTTGCAAAAGAACAGCAAGAAAGCGGCGTGCCTATTTGGATCGCGATTCAAGAGCTAAAATATTTTCTTCTTGGGATATTCACTGCATCGTAGCAAATCGTGAAAAGCTGTGGAACATTTTACTTGTTTTTTTCTTATCCGTTTCTGCTTTTTACTCTAATCTGGGAGAAAAGGCATCAGCAAGCCAACTAGCCACACCCAAAGCGTTGAAATGTTTCCTTCCGTCTGAATTAATCAACATCAAAAACGAAATTCCAGCGTGGTTGACAGTTTTGCCTCTGCAATGGGAGTTCAAATGCATTGAGCTCTTGCCAGTGGAAATTGGTGGTGACACACATAACATCTTCCGGATTACTGAGTCTCACTTAAATAGGCGTTGATCATGAACACACACACACACCCTGTACACACAAGGCACTCGCGTTTGTGATTCACATGTGTGCCTGAAACCACGTGCACCTGCTTCACTGATTGCTTGACCTTGATCACTTCCTCCAATCCTACTCAATTGTAGTCGTAAGTAAAAGCACAATAAATGTTCGAGAATGCGTTAGTCAACCATCAGGAGTACCATAGCCTCAGCTCTAAAACCACTAACTTTGCACACCCGTGGGAGTACACTGTTGGTAATACCCCACAGCACTGTCTAAATAAACAAAAATGCAAATTAGATGGTTATAACTGTTTGAAAGCAAAAGAACAATTGGAAGTACCTAGGCCACGGTGGAGGTCTGCGTACAAAGAAAGTGTCTTTTACTTAAAACTTCCAAGCACAATGTTCAGAAAGTAAATGAGTTTTAAATGATAAGGTGCCTTAGTGCAGCACAGAGCGGTAGTAAATTATCTACAGTAAAACTCGTCAATTCCCGAACGTCAACACTGGTCCCACATGACCAAACACCGAGTTCAACCGTGACCCGGATTTCCGGCTGATCCATCTGAACACGAGACTGCGTTTGCACCCACTAACACCCCCGCTGAGCCCGAGTGTCTATTGCAAACTGCCTCAGCGTGCATCTGTGTCTACATGCCCCAGAACCTAGCCTACCATCCGTGTTGACACACCAGAGACACTGGTGCCAGTTGTCCAACCACTACTCAGAACAATCGTCTAGCTGCCCAATAAACGTTAGAGCCTCCATTGCTTTCGTCTGGGTGCCTGGTGTCGTATCAGGCCGCATTTCCAACAACAAAATGGTTGCCTTAACGCGGATGCATGTTCCAAATTTAGGTTTTTTATAGCCTCAAGATCAAATTTTCCTGCTTTTTGTCGCATACATTTAACCAATTTTCAATCTTTACCGGTAATTTTTTGATAAAGAAATCTTTTAAGACATTCAATAACAAAATCATCCATGAATCATTAAATTCTCGTACAAGCATTTGACGACTTGATGTACGACAGACCAAGCACTTATGCCTAATGGGCGCTGGAGACAGCTGGATTTCTCCCATTTAAGGCAACTCCCAAACATTCTTGTGCGAAGTGTGTCTAATAAATGTTCGGTGTGTGCAGGGTTCACCAGAGGGGACAGCGGACATTTATAGCCTGAACCATCGAGTAAACTCCCAACACCGCCTCATTCTACCACAAGTGCCCGCTTCGTCATCTTATCACGTGACTGACTGAGTCTAGTCTCGGCTGAAGGCTCTGCTTTCCGTTCTGCTGAGTATGCGTTGGCACTGAGGACGATGCCCACATGGGTCGCTAGTTGTGGCCGAAGATAGAAACGACTTGGAATTAAATTGGCGGAAGGTGAACTTTAATAAAAGTGACTAACAGTTTACTGCACTAATCTTACTTGCCTGTGGAACCTGAACGTAAAATGCATTTCAGTTGAATGACGGTTTCGTTCGAGCACCCACGTCCATTACTGTAATGTGTCCACGCCCATTTGCAAGATGGGCATTTTTTGCTGTCCATCCTAATGACATACTAAAACTGAAAGCTCTGCAAAAAAATATTTAGTTCATCACGTGCCAGAGGCAAGGCAATTGCTTCCCCCGAAATACTGGTTATCGACGGTCTAATACAAGATAATGCTTAAAAGTGGTTCAGTGCATTTTATGATTACTAAGATATCCGAAAATTATGAAAACGTGAGTGTTCTTAATGGAGCGTGAATTTAATTTAATCCAACAGAATCCACTAAAACGTGTGCGCTTACGAATTAAACCAGGTAGGGTGAGCGAATTTAAACTTTCCCACAAACCACAGTGACACCCATCCTGTCTGAATCATAAAACAGCGTTGGTCCCAAAAAGTTAACCAAAGACAGCAAAGATTACTATGAAGTTCTCTCCAAAAATTAAATAAAATTCGAGTTCAGCGTTGAACTCTAAGTCCATCCTGTTTTGCTTTTGAAGTAAATATACCACAATTTAGAATCAAAACACAGGTAGATCTGGTCAGTTGTTAGAGGACGCATCTTTGATGTTAGCTGGCTAATGAGTTCTATCAATTGTAGAATTTTGAATAGATCAAAAATACATACTGATTTTCACAACTTCTGAAGCTACACGACGCGGCAAACCAATGTTATCGTAAAGGGATTTTGTGTTATTCTAGTGTCCCTTACAAACGAGTCCTCTAAATGTCATACACGTCTACCTCCATAATAAAATAGCACTCAACGCTAGGCTATGAAGTTGAATTTAGAGACAAAGTGTTACAAACATAGTTTACAAAGCTAGAAGCGTTATTGACACCCGACAGTTACCTAGAGTTTCACAAAGCACTTTGCCTAGCCGTACACAACGTGCCTACAGAAGATGCCACAAAACTGTGGGGCTTTGCGAACGCCCCCACACGAAGTGTGCGTGTGTGTGCGATCAAGCCGCCGGAGATCATTGGAACTCCGCGTGTGCATCGACGCCCTCGCGCACAACTATCCAGGCAGCGCGATTGTGCGAACTAAGCAAAACGCTAATTAGATCGCCTGGTGAGACATGTCACTGCTCAAACGCATGAGCATTAATTCCTTTAGGAACAAAGATGCCTCAGCTAAACCCACAACACCGACAAAATTGGGTGAGCCTTTCTTCATTTAAACTAGCAAAATTTGATGCTTTTTGTCTTTTGCCAAAACTGTTTCCCGATTTATGGGGTTGATGTCGACTGCTTTCTGCAGAACAATGCTTCAAATTTTAAAATGCCGAATAATATTAATGTGTTTATAAGTGAAGGAATTTAGACTGTTAAGATACTTTGCTTCACAAATGGTTGGTCACAGCGAGACCCCTACAATTTATCAGTTTTCAATCTAGTTTTGGGTGATTTCACTTTGATTCATTAGTTGTAATATGGCTTATAAGACTTGACACTAAGAACAGAATTCATTTGTACTATTGTCATGCTGAGATACAAAAATCCATAAGACTTAGCGTTCTGACGGAGTGCTTCCATCAATTTCATTCCGGAAAGTGCACGGGACTGATAAAGCGAAGATTTTGCACTGGTAGCGGGGCTTAATGTGAACCACCGAAGTAGCCACACATCAAGTGAGGCCTTCATCTACTAATAAACATAGTTATTTGTTAACGAGAGCGCGAGAATTCCAGCGCAGTGTGCTCGGTTGGCGATATCAAACTGTGAAAAGTCAACGGCTTATGGGCTGACTACTAAGTTGTCTCTTCTAAATGCTGCAGATTTTTCATATCAATGATGATGAAAGCAGGCACACAAAAGTTTTCCCCCACAAATAGACATTTTCACATTCCGCCAGGTTTTTCTGCATTCAGCTGAATTTAGCCCAGGAACCCTGATACCTCCTGAGGTATTGCAGCAACGAATCACAGAGCAAAATAGCGAGCAGTCATTCGAAGCGCTTCGACTCAAAGTCCAAAAGGCCGATGAAGAGAGGCGGCGGAAAGAGGAGATGGATCGGCTCATCGCTGAGCGTCAAGGACGTCTGCAGGACCACGGATATGACGATGAGTTGGGATTCTTGGTTTTTAAACTCCTGTATGGAGCTACGCGTTGCATTATTTCTCTGTAATTTATTTCAAGTCGTTGAGCACCTCTGAGTGGACTCAGTCAAAAGACAGGACATATAAGGTCCTTCTTAATGCGAAATAATCATTCTTTGCATTTCCCCCATTAAGACCTTTAAAGGAATTTCCTAAAGTTGACTTCAAATTGCCCGTGCCAGTATAATTTTTTTCAAGATTTGAAAAATTTAACGAATATAATTCAATGATTTCGTCTAGAGGATAGTCCATATTCAGGTGTTTTTACTAATTTAACAACTTACGAAAGAGAACATATGCTTTAAAACAAACAATTTATAGAGCCTGACATTAGACCTCTCAGTTAAATCAGGAAAACGAAACATTTTCATAGTTATCGTGGAGATTTAAGGGGCTGTTTAGTTGATCATTTTAAGTCATTAATAGACAAATCGTCATTATTAAGTTTTATTCAATCATTATTTACTAGTTTGCTCAAAGCCCGTTAGATCACGAATTCACAAACTTGTCTATTGTATTCAATAACAAAGGGAAAACAATGCGTTGAAGGTCACCTTGCATTTTATTGGACAAATTCTTTGGTGAAATTGGTGTTAATGATTAGCCACAGGTAAGGCAAATTAACTTGACCCACTTCCTCCCATTATAAGGAACCTGCTCATTTCATTTGAAGGTACGACGTCAATCGTGAGGCCATGAAAGTAACCTTGGTAGAAGCTAATCATCTGAGACCACGAGACCCATTGGGGGTTATTTTAAACGTCCGAGTCAGCGTGACCCTAGAGAGTGTCCGGGATCCTTCCAAAATTATCAAACCTCAACCGAAGCTGAGCCTGCTCAACAAACTTGCAGCCAACCGAGGCATCGAGTACCAAGGCAAGGGTGGCTGGAAGTACCCAAGCAAGACCAACACGGTTGACGCGGCCTCCTCGTCAATTTATTGGCGCATACGTAAACCGGTTTGGAACGAGGACTTCATTTTCGAGGTGCGTTCACACCTTAAAATTTGCCTTTTGGATTATCCTCAACGCAAAGGATCAATTCTAAAGACTTTGCTCCTTTATGTGCAAGTTTCATAGTGTTACCGTATTATGCGACTAAATTATGGGTTTTGAACAGGCTATTGTGATAAAGTTCCTGATTTATTCAAAAATTATTCTTAAAAAGTAATTGTTTCAGTCTATTGGAGTGCAGCTGAACAGCGAATGAACCATATTAGAGCGCCACGTTATCTCCTTGCATTGTCTCAAGGTCGATAACTTGAATAAATACGTCAAGACTTAATTTGTCTTTTAAAAATGAGCCAAAATGTGTAAAATATGCTCTTTACTCCAACAAACGGCTCATAAATTAAAAATTCCCTACACTGTTGTACAGAATTTTTAGTGTACAAAAAACTCAGACTAATGTGAGGCCATTATTTTTCGCTCAAATTTTGATACGATTTGTGTTTTCTTAAGATTTGTGCTGTAATCAGTACCATTGTGTCAACCGTTAGATGATAGTTATTTTATGCTATTTCCCGTGTAATGTAATTTCGAAATTCCGACCCTACCTTGGAAAATTTGAACTCCGATAACACAACACCCAAAATCAGTGTATCGTTGAAAAAAACTAGTAACAAACCCCCAACTGATTCGTGTGGTCGCGTGTTTTTGCAAACTTTTCATCACCCTGTAAATCCAATTTACGGGGAGTGCCATTAACAAGTGCTTCGTAACTTGCCACCTCTCGTCTACTTGAATAAACCAGAAAGTTGCCTTTTAAGGTGTTGATTGATTTTAAGAACAAGCTGCTAACTTAACTCATAGACAGTGAAATAGAATGAGCCACGTAAATGCATACCAAATAAACCACATTATGTCCCCTTAGCACAGAGCTAATTAAACTCAGACCGAATGTTCCGTAGGAAGCAAACCACAACGGGCTATAATATTGCCTTCTGATAAATACCCAAGTTTGCGTTTCACATTCTACACGTTGATTGATGTGTGGCCTGCTTGCTATAAAATTTAAGTGCTATCCAAAAGGGCTCAGTGACACCAGAAAAATGTAATAAGGCATTTTGTCATAGGAAATGTTACAGTAGTCAAAAGTGTTTTCTTCTGATGGGATGGATTGTGGGCCTTGAAGAATAATTATGTATCATTACTGATCATAATTCAAAGTCTTAATTTTTTAAGAAAATCAAAAATCGACAACTAAAGCACTTGGCTGTTGTTTTTACTGTGTACGAGCGTCAAGTGCCAAAGCCCCCGGAGCCACCAAAAGAAGATTTTATCGGAGAAGTACGGATTCCCTTGATCAAGATACACAAGAAATTAGCAACCAACGACGATCGATCTGGTAGGTTGAGTTCGCATTACTGAGCTAATACAATCGACTTCCAAAGGCTTTAATTTCATGCATCTAGGTTGAATCGATTGTGTTTTCTTTCTCATTATTGCAAGTTTAGGAATTCAATCAACACTCAGCTTTTACAGGCCAGTCTAGAAAAAAAAGACTGGAAAGTGCCTTTGTAAAACAGATAAAAAGGAGAGTTTCGGCGTTCTGAAAATTGAAATTTGCATTACAAGTTGTAAAAAAGACTAAAACGTCACAACCTTTGCTATTCCTTAGTGATATGACTGTGTGGTCCGAATTTCAACACCCCGCATACAAATTTCACCAAACAGTGAGAATGTCGGATATGGCCTCTTTAATTAAAATTAAAGTGACAAGTTGGCTACATTTTAGGAGACGCCAGATCCATGCCTCAAGTCGCCGAAAATACAAATGAAACTGCGGACGAAGGCGAAGACCCAGGCGTGAATCAACAAGTGGTGGAAATACCATTACCAAGTGAAAATCGTCTCGGAGACAAGGAAGCTGTTATCCAGTGGCTGGAAACTGTTTCATCACCAACACCGGGGCAAGATGAGGAAATGGAAGAACTGGCAAGTCCCGTCTCAATGCAAAATTAGGTGCTAAGGCTAAGCTGGATCCAATTTACAATAAGCATTAATGAACTAGCGTCACTATCACTAGCCAAACTGCTGAAGAAGCCCAAGACAACTAAAAGTACTTTTTTTAGCTGATAGTTTCCTTAAAGGTCAATACACATAGGTGCAAGTGTGTGGGACAGATCACTTAACATCCCCAGGTTCCGCTATTTGAATTATCGTCAGTTAACTGTTCCAACCGCAAAAACAAAGAAAATTGATGTGGTTCGTTAAAATTCACAGTATTTATTTATTTAATTACATTAGTTGACAAATGATACAAAGGAAAATTTGATTGTGTTTAGTTAGCATTGCCAATAACCCAACTGCAAGAAGTCCACATTGCATGTGGGGTGACTACTTAGGCGAAAAGATTTCTATCTCTAATGTGTGCTTTAACAAGACCAGACATGAGCAATTTTATTTTTTAAACAAAAAACTAGGTTGATAATTTAATTTAAAAGCTATACAAGGATGGATTTCGAAACACAAGACGTACCCTCCCCCCATGAATTAGGTTGAAAAACTGCCTTAAAATCAGTGACAACTGAAGCACATTTTTGAGAATGCACTACCTTGGTGCTGAAGTCTTCCTTGGCGGTGGCGGTAAGCCAAGTGCGTCAAAGTAACTAGCACAGAGTTACCTTCATAGGAATCCCTCTGCAACAGTGAGGCAGTTCGTGACCAGCTCGGGGACCCCGAATTGATGGATAGTATCTCGGTCAGAGAACTGCGCATGGCAAATGCCGACACAAATTTGGACACAATCAAACAACTGGCAATGCCACCTCCCTCCAATGACCCCGCACAAGCTGGCGACGCTGTAAGTATTTCTGTCTGGCAATAAGCCACCCCGGTGATAAATCCATTTGTTACACGAGAGTCGAGGGCGTCACTTCAGTGGCAATATTTTAACCACCCAGGCAATCTTGGTACACGTTTAAACCTTAAATTAGCCATCCACTCAAACTGGGATTCAAATATCATCAATTGCTCTGATCACGCAATTACGCCAACAGGTGAAGACGACGGCATTGGGCCTATACGAATTAGACATGAGCCCAGAGTGGACATTAGTGTCTATCGCACAGCCACCTGCCTTTCAAACTAACACCAACAGAAGCTCACTTGGTTCACAGGAAGTAGCAGCTATTTGCTTCTGTGTGATGCATGAAATGTTAGGACTATTGGCCTCCATCCATATTATTACCTCGTACACAGGAAGAAAATCAAAACCGGACGGAGGAAGACAGCGAACAAGCGGATTCAGAACCAGACCTGCCGGAAAACGAGAGGCCACGAGTCATCCGTACTTTAGAGGGTTGGCACTACATAAACAGCGTCCCGCGACTACGTCCGGTCTACGGAGAATTGGAAATTGGACTACTCTACGACCCGTCTCTTGGAAAACTAACGATATCTGTGAGTTTTGTTAAATTGTAATGTAGACTTCACCTCATGCAACCATACAAAAAACCAAATAGACATAACCACGAACCCATTTGGTCACCGGAAACTCGGGGTGATGAAATGACAGCCCAACTACCTATCCGAAAATTACGGTTATTCAAGAGCTTTTAGTGAATAATTTAGCGAGCAATCTTTAGTTCTTTTGTCGTTTGTATAAAGCGTTCAAATTGGTGCGCAATCGCGCCACGTTTTTGAGAAAGCTACGCTTTCGAAGTGACCATCTCACTTGTGGCTGTGATCAGCTGGTTACCTTCATATTATTGCAAGAAAACGCAATTCAGAAGTGGAGACACTTTCAGACCTTAAGTTCGATTCGAGGGGCTGAGGTAAGTTGAGTGAATAATCGCTGAGACAGGAAATTTCCCCTAGTGGTATTTCCGTGCTCAGTTGGCTAGTTTATAGGCGTCTTTCTGCGACTCGTTCAGGAATTCATACAATCGGACATCACGGTAGCACGTGCTCTTCAAGCACCAAATGTAAAACAACTCGCATCATTCTAGATTATCAAGGGCAGAAAAATGGTTGCTCCAGACGGCACCTTCATGAAGGTGTGGATCAGCGTGCAACAAAAAACCAGAATCTGCAAGAAGAGGACGCCTTTTGTAGCAGTAACCTCGGCCAAGGCAAGCGCAAAATCAGGATCCTCTCACAACGAACCCGTGGCAATTATTGAGAAGGCAGGAAAGATTCACAAGACTTCGGTGCGCATAGACACCGCAGATCCGGTCTGGGATGATCGGTTTCACTTCAATGTAGCGAAGGAACAGCTCCAGAACGTTTTCTTCGACACACTCGTGTACAACCAAGATAGTGTGATTGGCGGTCTTCGACTAGGGCACTTCGCTTGTTACAAGGCTTCGTATCACTGGAACACTATGATCAAACGTCCAGGTGTGTGGGTAGAACAAACTTACATCCTGCAATAAATTTTTAAAGATATGACAAAGAATTGCACAAATGTTCTTACACAAATCCAGCTAAGCATTAGGTGTTGGCTTACTGACATCTTTAAAAGGAATAGGAGATTGGTGTGACGAAGTAGCGAAGAATAATATTAAGTCGAGATTCCAATTCTTACAAAACGGTATCCGGTTCAGGGCCATATTACGACAAGATTCTGGGACTTTTCTCACAAATGATAAAATGGAGAAGCGAGACGCTTACAACTTGGAATCACGAAACTGTGGGTTAACACACTTGAACACCTACACGTACTAGGTGAGTTAGGTCATGAAGCATTTCCAGAAGCGGCATTTATAGACTTAGAAGTAGAGGTGCAAGCATAGGCTCACGAACAAACTAGATGAATTCAATAAATCAATTAAGTTAAACTTGCACATCCCGTTTTCACCATTTTGATGATAAAAAAGGTCAACCAGAGAGAACTCGTGATGCCGCTCTGTGGCCACGATCACTTGACATCGCCTCATTGAGTCGGGCCGTAACAAGTGGTGCCCTTAGTAAGTCCACGCAATTTCGATATTATGAATGAGGTTTGTGTGTAACTGGAGCACACACTAACGCAAGATTCCAACCCATGGTAGTTAGGCTCCAACCAAGTGATCCACCAAGAGACGACCCACCTCGGGCTCTTCCTTTACAAGGGGCCGCATACCTAGACGGGGCTGTCAAAGGCCTTCTATGCAAATAAATATTCCAAAAAAGTTAAAAAATGAAACCTACTGGTCAAAGCTCAAAAGCTATGATGGATCCACCTGAATGAAGAAGCTAATGTGCATTTAACACGGCCAAGAAGTTGGTAAAGTGGGCTCCTCGAATAGTAAGAAAAAAAGGCCGAGTCCTTGTGCTGTCTTTGCTATGAAATCACAGTTTATTGGCATACATTTAATGAAGTAGAGGATTAGCAAAAAAACGGATGGATCTCTGGATCAAAATAGGGCGCAACATCACAGTTTTAGTAACTATATGATATTAATCCTCTACATTTTTGAATGCGACGGTAAAGGATCGAGATCTTCGAAGATGGTGGGATCTTCGGCTAGAGCGTCACGCGACTGTTTGTAGTCCTTATCAGTAAAATCACGGGGCTGGTAATGACGACGCCCGGTTGAAGAGGGAGAACCACTGGTGTTTTCGTCCACAAGAGACAAGTTAACGAGGTGAGAAGGAAGGTCGGCAAACACTCGATTGTTAGAGGATCCACCATTCACTTCCTGGGACTTCGATAGTTCGGTGGGTTGTTGAGGGGCGGGCGGCGCCGCCACGGTCTAAAATGATGGCAAAAGTGTCCACGCTCAAATCCTAAATCAATGCAAACTAAAGTGCCAGCACAACCAAAGCATGCTTTTTCAGCGGTTAATTCATGGAGCTTCCCTGGACAGTCCAAGGAGTCCAATCAAATAGGGCGCACTCCAAGAGGATGGCAAAATACGCAAAACGCAGACATTTCACACGCTCAGATTAGAATTCTACATAGGAAGGAAATGTGCACTGAGGAATACGATGGGAAAACAAGTAGTCAGATTGCAACACACACAGTTAACTCAGTCATAACTTAAGAAAAGAGCTACGGAGATGATACCATGCAAAAATGAAATAGATCACCTGATTTTCGAAGAAAAAAATAGCAGCAAAACTCTGAGAGAATTCGAGGCACACGTGCAGGAAGCAAAGAAACAAGAAAATACTAACGAGCTGCGTGCAACCACCACAATGGGAGATGAAATAAGCAGGAAAAATCAACCAGAACCAGCAGAGGGCTCACTGAGCGTCTACACAGCCAAAAATTAGGTCATGAAAATAGCGAGCATGCGAGCGTGGTTCGAGCGCACAATCAACGGGCAGACAAGAGCAGGCACGATGTAAGGCCAACGAACCTTATTTGGAGGAGTGAATCCAAGAGCCGTTACCATCTCTGATACCTGTAAAGGCCGATCCGAGAAAAGGGACGCGGCAAAATCTTCAGCTACGTGGGATGCGGCTGTGACTTCTTTCTGTGATACCTCGCTAGCCTTTTCCAAGTTGCTGACGGTCTTTCGCGAGATCGCTGAAGACGGTCCGACTACTATATCCCTCCGTGCCAGAGACTGCTTAGCAGCCATTCCGACTACCGCGTATATGGCCGCAAACTGTTCAGGTTGAGTCAAAGCACCTCGCCGCTGTTGACACAAACGTCCAACCAGGTCACACACGTCCGCGATTTTTCCCAGGACCTCCGAGTGAAGCACAGCCACGGAACTGGCTACGAACATACCCCCAAGACCACCTCCGTCCTCCGACACGACCGCAATAGGATGCATTAGGCTTCTCTGTTGCTTATAGAACCCGATAGAAGCATTGACAAAAGCAGTGAAAGACCTTATCGAGTCAATATCTCCCGTTTTAGGGAAAGCGCCGGAGTAACACAAGTGAACGACACTGCGAGTTTGTTGATTGTTGCAGTTTTTTAGGGTAAAGATGCGCTCAATACAGGTTGACTGAGAAATCGAATCTACAGTTGGTGGTTGTTGGGAAAGCGAATCGGGCCGGGTTAATTTCACAGCCTGGAGGCGAAGCTCCAGCGAGGAGGAATTACCGTCGAGCTGAAGACGGGAGCCAACCTTCATCGGTGGCAAGTGTGCAGGAACTCGCAGACGATCCTCGGGGTCACCATAAGCACCTTCTGGGTAGCTTTCGAAAGGGTCAAGACTTGAGGGAAGTACGGTCGTTCGTCGACGAGGAGGGAGCAACAAAACCACCAATTCACAGGCTTGATCGAAAATCATACTCCAGAAATCGACCACGGTGTTGGGGAGGGGTGCTTGTGTCAGAATGTACCTCGGACACCATTCACCCAGGGACGAAATAAAGTCCAAATGGCTGGCATTTATGTAATCGCTCTTAGTGGAGGAGGGATCACCCTTTAAAAGAACGCGATTAAAATCGTAAGGGATGCATTCTTGGCTTCGGTTTTTCGCCGCACTACAGCGAGCTACAGCCTGTGTTGGTCGTTTTTCGTTTCCATTTGAAGTGATCTCACTAACACGCAACCACAACTGGTCAAGCCGGGAAAGTGGACGTGATAAAGAACTCGGGTCACTGCTGGGAACGGGGTCGTTCATAGTTTCGAGCCAAGTTAACAGTCGTTCCGTAGAGTCGATAAAACGATTGACGGCCAGGCAGTCAGAAAGTGGATCTATGTGGGGTGCAGCCTTGTTTGTGACTTCGCCAGTGCTGATTACAGTTGAGGAGTCAACTAGGTTACCCATCGTGGTATCGTAGGTTGCTCGAAGGTGTTTTTCACGTCTCTGGACTTCTAAGTCAGCCTAAAATGCATCCAGATATCACAGACAGCACCAACTTCACACCCAAAATCGAGTATTTCGGAGAAAGCCTCGTTACCAGTCAAGCAGCACTGCTGCTCACATGAAGCACGCATACAAAATATAAGAGTGATACGCAGGAAGAGGGATAGCGGTTCAGGTAGAGGTAGATGGGGCTATAATGTAGCTCGGGCTTTACCAGGCACTTGAAACAAAAATCGTAAACAAAAATTTTTGACGAGTGGAAAGAAACAAAAGAAGGTTTAACGAAAAGAGTTGCATTCAGGGCGTACTGATGTAAGGCTAATTCGGAATTTGGATGAAATCAAAAAAAATTGACGGGATGCAATTATGAAAAGGGATCAACGTTTAGGCCTCACAAACTAGGGTACCTTAGTGATGGTGACGTTACTAGATGTTGATAACAACTGACTCAGTACAAATGTGTAAGCGACAAATCAAAGAGACAATTAACCTTAAAACCGGCTGTCACAAAATGTTTCTTTGCAGCTACCAGTCATTTTTGTCTATCGTAATCTCGAAACAAGACTGACCTGTGTGAGAACTTGTGGTAAAATCGGTGTTTTACCAAGGTCCCAGTTGTTAGCAGACGAAGAGACGACCTGTCCATCCAGTTCAGCATCTTCTGATCCTTCGCATTTGGCGTTCAATGGCGAAACGGGTTTCGGCGGATTCGTAACGGTGGATAATGGACACGGTTCCGGAGCACCAGCACATATAGGGCTAGTGGGCCTCTGGGAAGAAGGCAAAATATCAGGTTTCAATGGCTCTTGATGGAGGTTCTGAGGTTCATCGGGCACTTGTGGTGCTGACGTAGCCTTTGGTGGTGGATCGTTGGTTGTACTTTTCGGGGCCGCATGAGTTGTTGGAGCTGAGGTTGTTGATGGTGGATAGTGTGACGTGACTGTAGCACCTTGCGGACCTATCGAAACTGTGTTAGGTGAGTATTGATAACCCGGTGTGCTCGAAGGATTTGCAAGTCGAGGTGCTGCTTCATGTGGCTGCCTCGGAGCCAAAGGCCCACTTTGGCTAGGAAACAACGGTCTATAATTGTACTGAACGTTTGGCTGACTTTGAGCATGCGCTTGAATTCCACGTGGCAAGTACGGATAAGGTTGCTGAGGTGCTCCATAATAGTGTTGACCGGGCTGAGTCACTGATGTGGTAGCTCCGGGGTGCTGAGCCTGAGCCGTAACTCCCGCAACCGCAGAGCCCACAGCCGCTCCTTGGGAGAATTGCTGGGTGGCACGAGGTGGTTCGTACGATTGCGGAGTTGGAATGGACGGTTGACCTTGGCCTGGAAACCCAGGCTGATTATAATTTAGCTGACCTCCCGAATGAAATTGCTGCTGGTGTGCGAACTGTTGGGGTGCCAGTTGGCTACCAAAAGGGGCCTGCTGATAAGCGCCCGGGGGAACTGCAGACATTGGTCTTTGATTTGGCATCCCCAGACCATGTACCATTGCCTGTGGTCCAAGCTGAGGTTGAAGTCCAGACTGGGGTTTTGCTGGTGCTGGTGGCATCACCTGCGTTTGGGGTTGTTGATACGAAGTCGGAATGGTCGATTGGCTTGATAGCCCTGGAGTCGCCCGATTACCAGTACTAGAAGCCTCAGGTAGTTGGCTCCGGGAGGGTGGAACTGAGTATTGACCCGGCTGAGATGTGCTTGGCAGTGTTGGTCGTTGTCCTTGCCCTGCAGCAACCCCATGAACCGCCTGAATACCTGCGGGTTGAGTTGGTGATCGAAACGCGGGTGCTGAATATTGATGGCCTGGATGCTGAGTCCACTGTGGCTGTGGAAACGCGGGCCTCTGCCCTTGACCTGGAGAAGTTCCTGGAACTCTAGGTTGATGGGGTGCAGCAGATGGAGTGTTTGTGTATGGGAGAACGTACTGCTGAGCATTTGGATGTTGCTGGTAGGCATAAGGCGAGCCTTGTGCCGTTGGAGGAACCAGCCCAGGACGTTGTGGAAGTGGCTGTCGGTTGATTGTGGGCGGGAGAGGTGCAAGAGAGGGGTAGTGCATGCCTGTTACATATGGGCTCGGGTAGTAGGGCGCAGGAAACGCCTGCTGAGGTCGCGTGGCTGCTGGTTGCACCATTAAAGCGGCACCAGGAGTTCGCGGTGGGTCCGACGACTGGCATACCGAGAAAGGAACGGGAGAAAATTGGGCCTACAAAACCGTACAAGTGTGTGAATATTTGAAAAAAAGTTAATAATCGCCAAATGCTTGTGCATGCTAACTAAAGTGGACGACGATACGGTGATTTTGATGACTGGCTGGCAAAATTGAATGGGAACACGATTGGGCTAAAATAAGGCCTCACTTATCGCTTAAGTTAGTTTAAATAAGGAAATTGGCTGGGTGCAATAAGCAATCTAAAAACACTGACATAAACTCAACTGTTAAAATGCGATAGTGTATTTGAACAATAGCCTTTTTTTTATTTTTGAACTGGTCGATGGAGCAAATGGCTTTAATACCAAAACAACAATAGCCACTTCGTGAACATTTACCTTAAAATTTGCAAACAAAAGCGAAAAAGTACGGTAATCGGAGGGGAAAGATAAACGTTGACTACACATCGATACTACAACGTGTAGTGTTTAGCCAATTGAATTCGCAGTTAGATTAGGAGGGGGTTATTGGCCAAAAATGCCTTAGAGACCACCACATACATACTAAATTCGGTAAAATTTAGTAAATCATTATCATAAATGAAACATCGAATGCAGGATTGTACATACGACTTAAAGCACTTCCAGTGTGCAAAAAGGGAAGGTAGCGAAATGAAATAAAGTGAACAGGCGTATTTACGAGCTTAGACGGTGGAGAGGGAGCAGGTTGGGTGGCCGTGAGAGTAGTTGGGCGAACCCCCTGTTGTGAAGGCTGGAAGGGAGGTTCCGTGGGATTTGGTGGGTGCGCTGCTTGAAGACGAGGAGGCTGCCAGTGGGGCGGTGCAGGTTGGGACGGGGTTGGGGGTCGGACGGCGGCACTCTGTTCCCTCGCACGAAGAACTTCGCGCAGAGTCATCGCACCCGAAGCTGAGCCTTGGGAACCCGTCGGTTTACCTATAGCCAAGCACCGTCTGAGTGAAACTGCCACAGCAAGAGATAGCAGATAACTGAATTTTCCAGCAGTCAAGAGCAAACACAAAACAACGTGAGCGCAACTGACTCTTAATGTTGGCAGGTAACTTCTGGGAAAACTTAGGGCGTGGGACACTCGCAAGATCTGACACACTTCAAAATAACCACAAACACAGAGCAGCACAGGAATTTTAAAAAAAGTAATAAACGCAAGTTTTACTTGATGGGGTGGGTGTCGGCATTGTCGGAACAGGGGCTGATGTCTGTAAAGTTGGCTGCTGAGGTTTAGGATCTAGGTCACGAATTGATGAGTTTACTTGGTCGAGTTTGGAGCGAAGAAGATGCAATCGATCGGACATTTCACGATAAAAGGCTTGACCCTCACTGCACTTCACCAGCAGATCGCCAAACGTCTCCCCAGAGAGAATAAGTGAATTGATCTCCTCAGCACGCCTATAAAAAGGGGGCGGAGTTACGTGATTGTTACCGGTATCGGTTTGTTAATCGGTCTGCTGGCTCGAATTTCCAGAACTGTAAAAAACATCAAGGCAAAACAACGCATTTGCAACACAAGGCAATATTGCAAACGAGAGTTTTCGTCATGGATGCCTCAACGAATTTTGTGATTTCTACGAGAGATGTTAGAAGAACAACGGTGAACACACCACCAAACAGACACATTGAATGGACGATTCCATACTTAACGCCAGGTTAAAGCAGAAACGGATTACTGATAATTGAGAAGAAACTTCGCTTGAAGTAGTACAAAGCCAAGTTAGCACATTTCCTCATCAACAGTATGCAGATGACTCACCCTCGTCGCCTCTCCAGGATATTGTATTTATTTACACCCAATTTCGCATGGACGTCAATCAGGGCCTTGACGATGTTCTCCTGAGCGGAAAGGTTCATGCGAAGCAACTTTACTGACTCGTCGTGGGCAGCCATGCGGCTCTCAAACAACGCAGTGTGGTCGCTAGACGAAAGAATTTCCTGGGTCACGTCATCGGCCTGCAGGGCTGCGCGCAGTTTCTCCAACATCGAGGCACGTTGATCCTGCATTTGTTCTATTTTCTTCAATATACGCGCAGCTTCATCCAAACCCGTAAGGAAATCGGTATCTGAAAAATATCACCATGCTAACAACTAACAATTATAGTATTTTATGTGAGGACTACTAAACTACGACGCCGCGGCATAAAAGTACGCTCTAGACGTGGTAGCTACGATATCTTGTCTGTGTGAAAATGAACATCAACAGAATATTGGTAGACATAACAGTCCGATATCCTCTTAAAAAGAGGGAAGTGATCTAATTACACCTAAATCATAAGGTTACATTGAAATTCATGGCTGCAGTGCCAGTAATACAAAAGAAATTGTTTTCATTTTACATTGACCAAGGCATTAAATGGAAGGCAACGCGACGTGCGGTCAGGTGGATAATGGGTTATCCAAAGAATATCGTAGTTATATAAAGGATCGGTTTGTTTCCACTCACGTGGTACAAACACACGGGGGCTTGCTAAACAGAAAGGGGAACAGACAAGTTGAATAGCTTGTGCCATTAAGACGCGTTTGGTGATGCCAATGGTTAATCAGACCACCGTTCACCTTACTAAACCGCTACCTTTCCAATCAGCAATGGAAAAAAACGACAAACCGGTTATCAAATCATTCGCATTGGGGAGATCCGCTTCGATCTGGTCGGGAGGACGAAGGAGGACACGCAAGGCCTTCTGATGTTCTAATAGTACTTGATGCAGTTGCGCATTTGACTGCTTCGCTTCTTCCACGGCTGACGCAAACTTCTCATGGCGCTCGATTATCCCGCTCAGCTGTTCCTTTACAGGGGCTGTCTTTGAGGGTGGTGCTAAGGGCTGAAATGGAAACAGACAGCTTACTGAAAGTCTGCAAGTACACGTATTTATGGTCTAGGTAGAGTCAGTACGGGGTGCACCGAAATCTATGATGAAATACTCGTTTCTTTCGTACCATAACGGCGTCAAGGTGGTCCGATGCAGCCTTGATTTCGGTGGACAGATCATTCAATTCGGTTTCGACATCAACGCTTACGTCGACAAGGACTAAAACAAAGTAAAACGGGCGCCCGTCAGAGGAATAGCACTTATTACTCGCCTGATCGCACTCAAATAGAAATGGCTATGAGAGCGTAACTTCAGCAGCTGGAGTAAGTTAAACCGCGAATGTGGTTTCCTACCTATCGCGATGCAATTAGCGATGTGCAAAAGAAAGTAAATCAACTCATATGGACTAGAAAATCTGCGTGGCCATTGCCAGAGCGCGGCGTTTGGCTCACCAGACATTTGGGAGGAGAGTTCGGCTTCAGGAGACCTTTCCATCCCAGCCAACTGGGCGCAAACATCGAGCAAAGGCTGCGGCAAACCGCTATCGGGCTTGAGAAGTTCTTTGGGGTCGAGGTTGAGGCTTGACAAGAAAGACCTAAAAACAGGATGATGGTGTATTTGAATGAGCTTAATCCGAGAGGGGAACCAGTCCACCTGGGATTCTTTTCCGATGAAGATTTACAAATGCGAACTAGTTTTGGTGACTATAACATGAACCTTCCTAGATTAAATTGACAATTTTGGCGATCATTTAGCTAGAATATCCTCAATTCATGCAGTAGTAGACCGTTATGGTTACACAAAAAAACACAAAAGTGATGGACATACCCCAGTTCCTTGTCTTTCTCTTCCACTTCCGCCAAGACTTTTCTAAGAAATTCAGCCTTCATCTCGCTAAAAATCAAAACGCCATAACTCGAGCGGAGGCTGCAATTAGGGCCTGGCGTGCTTGGTGCCAGGCCTTCAAATGAACAGAACAAGTACACAGGTGCGATAGAGGGTCAATTCCAGGCTTCAAACGATAACAAAACAACGGGTACACATCAGGAGTTAGAGTGATAGCGCAACCACTAATTCATTTCTCTTTGTACAAGGTAATGCCAACTGTGTCAGAGCGTGAGTTGATTTCATTTGGCATGGCACATGAAGCTACACCGAGACACGGTGGGTTTCGCAGTCTCCAGCAACGGTTGCTTTAGATGTGACAATTAAAATTCCACGTGCCTGTTGACTTTGATGTTTAAGTATATAAAAAAGAATAAAACAACCTCGTTGGTTTTTAATTCATGTATTAGTTTCCAAGTGGGCCAATGAACATTGGGTGAAAAAAAGCATAGGAATTCACATACCTGTACAAGGAGCTGGCCTCAAGAGCTTCAATGGGAAGAAGATTCTTGAAGATGTCTTCTCCGATTACGGCGGGGTCCGTGTGATCAAAGGCAACGGGCTTAGCCAAGCAAGCATCTATGCAGTTACGACAAAACTTAACAACCCGTCCCTAGAATGAGCTGTTGTGGCAGTATCTTGATTAGTGGGAGCCTCCAAATACAGCAGATCCAGTTGCTTGCACAAAAAACCGAAATCCCGAAATTTATTAAGCCAGTAAGACCGACGTCTCATTAGGAAGAGCAATCATTCTGTGTGTAGTATAGAAAACAACCGGAAAGAACTCGGAGACATACAACTCCACACACACACACACAAGGGAAAAATCTCTAATTGGGAATTTCCACTAAAGAGCCTCAATGTGTTGTGCATGCACCATTTCGGGGCAGGCGTAATCATTGCTATGGAGCTTCTTTTTGGCGAGACATCAAACAGCCACATTGTATGCCCCAGGAAACCACAAGATTAACTGATTCGCAAGGCAGAATTTTACGTCCTCAAAGGAAAGGTGGAAGTGTAACCAAAATTTCTTACAGCCGGTGCTGTTAATCGTGAAACATTCAACTTACCGGGAACTTGTTCGAGGGCTGTCGATTGGGGTACAGGTTCGTGGTAAATTTGACTGTTGTCTTTTATTGCGTTGGTACAACTATACAACGAAAGAAAAGACCAATTATAAAACCCGCACAACAATATTTGTAAAAAAATGGTGCGAAAAAATTACCAAAAAGTACTAATGGGTAAAAATAAAAGATTATTGAGGCAGTGGTAAAAAGTGAGGGGACCAGAACTAAGGGCAAGATTTAGCCAGCGGCTTTTCATAATATCTTGATTTTTCAATATTTTGATTTTACAGAATTGGTTTATGAATTTGAGGTGCGTCTAAAGGGCTTAGTAGAGGGATACGCGAGAAAACTAACCTGCCATCGACAACTGCCACTAAACCATGAGATTGACCTAGTAAGTAACTACAATAACCAATCAAGAGTTCCTTACCAGTTGACGATGATTTCGCGAGCAAGCTGGATGGTGGCAATCATGGACTGGCCTAATTGCGGCTCCGTCGAGTCGGTGAAGGTCTTGGCGACGCGCCAGGCGTCCTCGATGCTCGACTGCGCGAGTTTGTAGTGGGAGACGCCGACACCAAATTTCATCTCAGCAGAACATTCCTGACCCATGAAGTAATCAACTAGGCTGGCGTAATACGACTTCTTTATCGACACCAATCGTGTCCAATCCTAAAAACAGATTAACAAAGGGATATGGTGAAATATTTACCAAATAACATTACAAAACGAAAAACTGACGCCCACTGTGGCACGCGCGAGTCATAAAGCGTCATTGAGTTGTGTACACGAATCCTAGCCAGACCGTGCAAATAGCGTGCTGATTAAGTGCAGTGAATGTTGCGTGGTGTGCTGTCAGAGAGGTCAAAACAGCTGCTGCAAGATAAAACGCAATGTCGTGGAATGGATACCCACAATAATGAGAAGCAGAATTTCGGTAGTTGAAGGTGTTAGGAAACAGAAAGGTGACACATCCCAAAGAATGACGACTTAGTATGAAGTTACAGCTACAACGGAAAGTGCGCCTCCGACAGAACCGGCACCCAACATCCCCAGGCAAACACCAGACGTCCACATAGGCACTGGCTAGGAGTAATTTTGAGACTCCTGTGCATAAGGGTGAAGATTTTCTTAAAACAAACATCCACACATTAGCCGAAAATAGCCCCAATGTAGGACTGTCATAGGTGTAGGGTTAAGGACCTGTGGAGCCACAAAACTGCAAAAGAACACAAGACTGAATTATTAACCGATTTCCGGTGGTTTGACTACCTTTAAAACTAGAGTTACATGTAAAAAAGGGCCTGTTCCCAACCTATCTAAGAAAACACTCTGTCACTGGGATCCTGGTAAAAGGTACTGTCAAGTAAAGTGAGAAGAAAACTTGAAAGAACGAAATTCATGCACAATAAGGTGATGGGGTTTTAGAAGAATACCTTCCTAGATTCCTAGAAGCCCACGAAACGCTACACCGTAAGATTACGTGAAAGTACTTTAGCAAACTAAAAACTGGTGATGTGGCGAATCACGGGGAAGTTAGTGAGACTGAATTCAACGCCACCCCCATGAACGCCCAAAACCTTTAGTTCAGTGAGGAATAAGCCACTTTATGCAAGTAAGCAAAATTAGAAATTCGCTGATATGATGTTTGGAGGTACAATATTTCAACAAGACATTTCGTTTAAAATATTTCTAGAAGATAAATACACAAGTGTTATGACTTTAATGACCATTAACTGTGGTTGGCAACCAAAACTCAAATTGGGTGGTAACAGCTTCAACAGTACGGGGAGGTCGGCGTTAAGCAGATTTTGCAAACGGCAAACGATGTACCACGTTGTAAGAGCACTTGGATACTTCAAGATAATAGTACTATGCATAAAACAAAAGAGGCATGCAGAAACTAATCGTGAAATGCATAGAATGCAGAAGTAGCCAGAGTTTCTCCAGATTACACTAAAGTATTTTCGAGATGTATCAGGCAATAGTGCGCAAATGTGTACCGCGTCATTTAAATGTAAAGTAGAGACAGGTTCACGACGCAGCTGTTCAGCAAAATTAACCAGCATTCTAAGCAAAGTCGACTGAAAAACAGATGTTCTCAATTCTAATAGGGTTGAGGAAGAGTACTGAAATGCTTGGAGACATCCCTGATTACTTATTTTTTACGGTGATTAATTTACTACCTCTTGTGAATTTATGTTTTCAAATGCAGTAAAATTCTAAGCGTTCTAAAACGAGGATTTGGGAGTAAATTCTTGCTGTTATTTTCTCACTTAACACAATAAAATATTTCCTGATGTAGGTTATTCAGTTTGTTTCTATTTGGGGTAGGCAGAAATGACCAATTTAGGCGAGTTGATTTATCAATTTTGGCCTGTGTTCTAGTTAAAGTTAACACATTAAAGCTAAACCCACATAAGTTTAACCGACAAAATTTTTACCCTTTTACTATAAATAAGCTAATGAATCATACTCCACACTATGGTAAATTTTCAAATAGGTAGGCCGCAAAAGTAAGGGGAGGCTGAGGCAGCTCTAAACGTAACCATGACGACGCACAGAAAGGACAGCACTACACACCTAATGAAAGCATTCAGATAGATTCTGCGAAATGTACCTCAGAACAAAACGCCTGCTTCAAAACTAAAATGTTTACTTTTGGTTGAAAGTCTTCGACGTCAAAAGGCAGTCGAAACAGAAGTCACTAGTTGTGATTTTTTGGTAGACTGTTAGTGTTGATTTAATGGCTGACGCGGCTCACGCCACAAATTAATTTGCGAGGTGGGCAAACAGAATTGGGATTCCGCATTGTAATAGATCGACTAAGCAACATTTTGAGGAAATAACGTTTCATAAACGACAACTACTAGTGAATGTCAAATACAAGAATTAAAACAAAAAAAATTAAATAAACCTTGAGAAACCGAGCGGGTACTGAAGTGGAGAGGGCATTCATCATGGTGAGACAACGGCCGTAGGAATCTGCAAGGAATTTGACTAGCTTTGCCGTAGTATTCGGGGACCGATTATCCACAATGGACTTCTCTGCTATGCATTCCTGGGCCTGATTCTACAATACATCAATCATAACCAAAAGGTTAATTACAAGTTTGCAAATACTAACACTCGAAACTAATTACTTGACTGAGTTTTAGAATAGTCTAGTTAATTTGAATCAAATACGTTCGGTTAGATGATAGTTGCACGAAAAGGGGGGTAAATAGCAAAATATTTGAGTTGTAGATGCAATTAGCATTTTGAAGGTCGGTCGACTGCCACTTTAAAGCGGAAAAAAGGTTCTGTTATGATTTAAAGGTCAGTTATTATACAACCACTTCAAAAGAAACAGCATAAACTGGTTTGCAGTCGAAATACGAAATGATTTGTTACTTTGGCGTAATTGTCAAAACAAGTGCCAATGCATTAATATAGCTAAACTTGAGCAAGAAATCCCTTAAAAGCGACAGTTTTCAACCTCAAGATTACTTTGAACATCACATCATATCTACCCCGGGTAGAACATGCGACTAGTAATTCCAAAATAGCGAAAATGTAGAAACTAGTGGAATAGTATTTGATATTTGTGAGAAATCATTTGGCAAAAAATAGCTTCTTTCTATGTGATATTATTTCGTAGAAGTCAAATTGAAGTTAAATTCATGTTTCTATTCATATATGACAGAAAAGCAAACGCGCACACGTTTTAATATTCTTAGATCAGAGTGCAAGGTCAGTTCAAACGGCCTAAAATACAATATATTAAGAGGGTATTCGTGAGTGGGCACTAGGTGAATACATCCTTAGACTGTGTGTGTGTGTGTGTGTGGGTACTCGTAATTATGACTTTTAGAAGGGTTTTAAAGTAAGGAATCATTAAGGAGAAATACAGGAACTTACGAAAATTTGTCATTCACTTAAAGCCACTTAATTTATACACATATCTTGCTGCTAAATGCAAACCAAGTGACAATACCCATACGGTACTTACGAATTGGGTTCGAAAAAAGAGACGCAATTTAATCATTTAATGTGACCTGTGTTTTAGTTGTATTGTTAGTAATCTCCATCAGCATTTCCAAAATACTGTTTACCAAAATAATAACATTTAGGCCAAAAAGGTTTTCACCGCAAAATGGTGACTAAAATTTACACAGGCTCGTTACACAGTTGCACTCTGCATCTTTATTAGAAGGAACCATACCGTAGCATAACGACAGGCGATTAAGAAGAATACAATCTCTACACATTGACAACTTCAGGATATATAAACATCGAGTCCATAAGAACTGACCTTGGACTAAAATGAGTAATAAATGCGTTGGTTTAAAGGGAAGAGCATACACTTGGTCCACTCTAGTGTAATTATTTCACTGACCATTCGATTAATGTTGCATAAAACGAATGTGAGAAAAGAACGGTACACTTACTAGCATAACCAAACTGTAGATGTGAAACAGATCACCGGTCATATCAGGAGCATCAGTAAACGACCCGTACCTTTCACGAAGTGTTTGAAAAACCCAGGCAGCACATTGAAAGTGAGTACATGCAACCTTCATGCTCTTAAAATAGATAAATATGATGTAAAAGAATGGAGGTAACCATTGCATCATTTAAATATGTGGTGGTTATTTAGAAGCAAACCGATGGTAAAAAGAAAAAATTACCATCTCAAAGATGAAGAGATACGAATTTTCGACCTTCGATAATTGAATATCTTAAAGTTTATAAAGCAGGGTGGTGATAGTAGATCCGATGTACAAATAAGCTATGATAGGGATTTTGATATGCGTAAAGCAAAATATAAAACATAAAATCACGTTCCTAATAATCATAATTCAATCTGAAAATGAAAACATCACCCGTCATACAGCCCATATACATACTAAAAAGTAAAAGAGAAGTAGAAAAACATAGCACCTACATTTACATCAGCCCGTGTTTCTTTCTGCCCCAGAAGTGAGTACGCAGCACCAAGGCTATATAAAGTGGCAGCCTCCTCGTAGTTTATTTCAGAACGAACAAACTGCTTTTGCTGGAATGCGTCCTGCCTAAAAAACAAGTGTCTATTTAGGACATCCACAAAAAGCTAGAGGGGGTTAAAAAGATACCTTAAATACAGAAACAGGGCATTTTTCAATAATAATTATAATATGAAAGTGTCGATGAATCTAAACATACCAAGGCCATTCAACTAGTTTTGGGACAGTAAGGTCGATGCGTTTCTTCAGTAGTAGTAGGTGAGCATAGTATCGTTTAATATGCACCAGAGAGCTGTCATCACTTGGATACTTGCAACATTCCTTAGACAAATATCAATGTAAACAATTATAGTACCGTCCGAAGGACGAGGAAGTTACGAAACATATTTTCGTCAATGAAAAGTTGG